AATAATCTTAATACAGTTAATGAATAATATTAATCTAAAAGTGTACAAAACCAGATAACGTAAATCTCCATGATCCTTTCAAATAAAAAGCCTTTTCCTGGTTCATGGAGATCACTCTAAACCAGAGTATTCCAACTTGCTGAATTCCAAAACATGACGCATTAGAAACAGATTGTTACAACACAAATCTCGAGTGTTTGACTTCTGGGATGCACTGTGGTGCTGTCCTGGTCCTGGGAACGTTTACCCAGCATTTGTGAGGCTTTTTTGACTCCTTAAATTTGTTTATTTAAACATTATATGTGATTTGGGGTTTGTTTAGACGGTACAGTATTGACTGTTCCCCATAATACCAGTTCTTTTGGTAATTGTCACGGTTCTGGGTCCGTTGGACCCAGTATTTTGAGTTTATTATGTTTTGGTTTTTGCATTATGGATTGTTTTCTGATGTTCTGGTGCTTTGTTTATCATTATACATCTGTTTCTATTCTTGGTGAGGGATCAGTTCTTAGGTTTTGGGTTCTCATGTGTATTACAGTTTCTGTTCAGTGTCTAGTCTGTCTCTCAGTGTCATGTCTGCATCCGGTTTAGTAATTCTTGTTTCCTGTTTTATTGTGAAAGTCTTTGTCTTAGGTTAGTGTGTGCAGCTTAGCTCCCCCGTCTCGTTAACCCTGATCTCTCCCAGCTGTGTCTCCCTCCTGTTGCCCATTCGCTGATTACCACCCTGTGTATATTAGCCCTGTGTTTTCCTGTGCTCGGTGTCGCGTCGTACCTTCAGATTATGCCTGTGTGTGTGTCTTTGGTTTTTGTAGTCACATCACTTCACGTTTGGTTTTCATGTCAGCAATAAAGCTGAGATTCTGATTTACAATTCTGTGTTCGAGTCCTGCGTTTGGATCCTCCTCTCCGCCTGCCCGCACACAGAGCCCTGACAGTAATAAAAGTTATTGTTTCAGGTCATGTTATTCTTTGCCGTTGGTTATGATTAATCATTCTATGATAGAATGTCTTTATAGTTCCAGTCAATCAGCAATGGATTTCCTAACTGAAACATTGCATCACTGCCAAGGAAAAAATGACTTCTGCGAAATCCAGTCAAAAGGAAATAACAGTTTATTTGACTGGTTTTACTGCTTAAATGTCCATGAACCCAGAAACAGATTATGTTTTTCATAAACAGATCATTCTGCTCCAAGTAAATTTGATGTTTGAGTATCATGTCTAAAGTTTAGAGTTAGCACTAAGACCAGGTTTAGCTTCAGATTTAGACCACTGGTTTTGCAACTGTTCCACTAATGTTATTTGGTAACTAGTCCTCTTCATATGTCATAGCTTGTGTATATTTTGAAGAACCATAATTCATTGTTGTTCTGTTTGTTTGTTTTTGTTTTGACAGATCTATCTGATCTTAGTGTGAAAAAGTCCTGTGCTATATTGTAATAACATGAACGTGTCTTTAATGTCATTGTTTAGTAAGACTGATATGACTGATATGATATGAACTTATTATTATGTGTGTGTGTGTGTGTGTGTGTGTGTGTGTGTGTGTGTGTGTGTGTGTGTGTGTGTGTATATATATATATATATATATATATATATATATACATATATATATATATATATACATATACATATATATATATATATATATATATGTATATATGTATGTATGTATGTATGTATGTATATATATATATATGTGTATGTTCTTCCTCTACACCCCCCCCCCCCCCCCAATTTTTGCACATGTCGAGGAGCGTGTCAGGCTACATTTCACTGTGTATAACTATGCATGTGACAAATAAAGAACCTTGAACCTTAAGTCTAATCTGACTTTGTGTCGATCTTGCTTAATGACCCACGTTGATCAGAACAGTGTTGGAAGTTATTCTTTTCTGCCCCAAGACTTATTTTTGTCCTGAAAGCTGACACTAAATTAGGAACAAGGGTGTTCCGATGCAAAATGAACTAAATCTAAAGGAAGTGCTTTCACTAAAAGGATTTCAGGTAGTTTTTATATGTATGCAGTTATACCCAGCTGCAAATGTTTTGCCTGACTATTACTGCCCCTGTGGGGTTTTGTTGTTGTTGTTTTTTTGCCTGAGATAATGACCTTTTTTAGCTTCATTAGTGTGGAAGTTCATACATCATAGTTGTTTTTGTGTTTTGCTCTTTGTTTCAGACACATTGGTAGACTTATTTTGTTTACTTTTGCTGTCTGTGTATTTGGTGTGTTGGAAGTCTATGCAAATAATGATTAATAAATAAAATACACATAATCTAAAAGCTTACTGTGATGTAGGCTCAAAATATATCAACCTGGTAGATATCTCAGATCTAAGAGCTAACACGATGAAATAGCTTTCTGAATTTTACAATCTGGAAGCATTTTTACCCTTTCATGCATGAATTATGACAACCTCAGTCAGGATTTTTATTCATCTTTAGGCATGAAAACATGAATAAAAATACTTCTATCCTGACTGAGGTCGTCATAATTCATGCATGACAGGGTAACAATAATTACAATGAAACACGTCATACATCTGTGGTAACATTAAACGACCAGTGGGTGGCAGGGTATGGAGTTACACATCAGTGTCCAATGTAGTGGTTTATGTTAAGTATACCATCAATACTGACACAAATACAAGCAAACAGCCTTCGAGTAGCCGTCCACTGTAGTGACCATTATGCGCGAAAGGGTTAAGACGTTTCTTTTCCCAATTGCTTAAATAAAATCAAATTCTGTGACACTTTATTACATTGATTTTCATTTAAACATGTCTAGACTTTAGAAAAATGCTCAGTCTGTGCTTTTGTTTCTGATTTGGACCTTTTACTCTGCTCTGATCATTTCATACCTTGTGATCTTCCTTTTCTTTAGTCAGAAAGGCAGTATGGTGCACTGCATTTCCACACACACTCCAAACCGTTTGAGTTAAAATTAACCCTAAATCAGATCCAGAAAGCAATACTGAATGTTTTATTAATGTCACTATCTCTGGTACATGCTGTTAACAGTTAAAACTTTACTTTTAATACACAAACACCCTGTTTAAATTCCTGATTTACTGCAGAGGTGAGCAGCATCAGGAATTACGATACTCAAATAATGCTAGCCCTCAAGGACACGTATTTCTTTTTTAACTGTAATAGTGATAGGAAAGAATAACATCCAAGTCAGAATATGAGGAAATGGTGTGGTTTGTCTTGGTAACTATGTTGAGTAACAGAACAGCTGTAGTATTTAAGATGTAGTAGTGGTTCATGTACAGTTTTATGTTTTAATACAGTTTTAATACAGTTTTATGGCAGTACCAGAATAACGTAGAAGCAACCGTTCTGGATGCCTTTTCTACTACAATATCTACAAATGTCTGCTCTTTACACTCCATTAAATGGTACTTTTGTTGAATATGAGATTCATGTCATTAATTAATGTCATCATGCTTACTGAGAGTAAATTGATAAGTAAAAATACATTTTCGAGACAATGAAGTTTGCAAAAAGGTTTAGGGTGTCATTAACTGGCGACCACTATTAATGTTCAGTTCATCTCAGTTCAATTTTGTTTACTTCAAGCACAATTTTTGCTACTGCACCAGAAAGAAGACGGCAGAGTCATTTCATGACTTATTTGTCATTAAATTAGTGGTGCAGATTTAAAAATTTACCTGAAATATAGCACAAGTGTAAACTGTTCCTATAGTGTGGAGACTGTATCAAAAATGTTAACTAATTTAGGCTAGATCACTACAAATTGGTAGCTACTTTTAACTTTCTGAGCCACTTTTCTGCTGCCATTTTGCTTGTTGCCAGTCAAGGAGCTGAATTCTTAGAGTTTCTTAATGATTTCTATTCCTGTTCTGCTGGGATTTGGTTTCATTATTTGAAACCAAATCCCAGCAGAACAGTTAACATGATATATTAATTGTTAATCTCATATTAACAGTTAAACAGTTAATATGAGATTATATTTTCATGTTATTGTCTAGTTGAATTTGTGTAAATCAGCTTGCCAAAAATTGTCCTTTAACCTCCTAGGACCTGGCGTCCACATATGTGGAGACCACATTTTGGGTTGTCTAGACCACATTACTAAATTTTGCTCTGTGAGGGCCTGATATCCACTTACAAGGACATTATACTGCCACTGTTCTATCAAAATTTGAAACGAATGTCCTCATATGTGTATATCAGGCCCTCACAGAGCAAGATCAGGTAAACAATAGTTCTTTGTTTTTACATTCATCAGGTCTCTTTATGGTTCCAATAAATCATTAACGGATTTCCTAACTGAAGTATTGCATCAGCAAGGACTTCAGTTAAATACAGTCATAAGGAAATAAGACGGTTTATTTATCTGGTTTTACTGCTTAAATGTCTGTTAACAGTGTTTCATAAATGAATCATTGTGCTTCAAGAAAACATGATGTTTGAGTATCATGTCTAAACTTTAGCATTAACACTCAGACAAGTTTTAAAACTTTAAAGACAACTTTTAAATTTATACCACTTGCCTTGTGATTGCTCTGCTAATATTATTTGGCTAATGTTATTTTTTTATTTGGTAGTCAGTCCTGTTCATATGTCATAGCTTGTGTATATTTTGAATATATCACAAGAACCGTCATTCATTGTTTTGTCCTTGTTTTCATTTACTTGCTTGTTTGAATCAAGTATTGTTACATGCCTATCATGTACAAACTAACAGGTGGAAATACATTTTCAAGACCATGAAGTGTGTCATTTTTTGACGACCATTGTTAATGTTCAATAGATTTCAGTTCACTGCTTTTGTATTGCACCAAGTCAAAACAACATGAGGTCATGTATCACAATACATGTGCCAGATACAATTTACACATCAATAACTTCCTGTTTACCAAACAGATCAGAGTTCAAGTACATACCTTTATGTGCACTCTGCAAATATCTTCCTGGCCTGCATACGCCCACAGGAACGTGACCTGATGTGACTCAGTTTACGTATATAAAGACCAGAGAAGTTCCCCGTCATTACTGCATCACTCAGCTGATACTTGAACAACATCTTTACCTGACAGGTAAGAATCCTACTTTTCATTCACTGACTTCATGCCTGTGCTCTTTCTGGATATTCATTGGCTGTTTTTGTTTATTTCATAACAGAGGATCAACATGAAGACTGTCCTGCTCCTCTCCGCTCTCCTCTATGCTGCACTGGCAGGTAATATTCAGCACACACAGACTCAAACAAACCTGCTCATCAGTCAATCAGCCAACCCTGAAGAAGTGATGGGAGACTCACTAATGCACCATTTTTACTGACTGTGTCATTTTTCTCTGCAGTTCCAGCTGAAGACAATCAGCAGACTTCAGGTGAGTGTTGAAAGTGTTTCTTTTAAGACGTACAAAGACAGTGAGAACAGAATCTAACACCAACACACGTGTGGTCAGTGTCCCCTTCGCTGTTGGCTTTTGTGTCATACTTAGCCTGCACTGTGACAGACAAGAGAACACACAATAAATAATCAAAACAGTCTGTCTACAGTTCAACCAGCGTTTCAGCACCACAACCTTAGACTTCAATATGATCTCAAATTTCAAGTGTAGTATCTTCAGTACAGTTACAACTTGAATGTTGCTTTGAATTTCACTGTTACACAGTTTGAAGGTTAGCAATGTGCATCCTTAACCAACTCACACATATTTAACTTGGCCTCATTACAAGGCACATAAATGACCTGTATGCAATTTCAGTTTCTCATGAAGGCAGCTGAAAACATTCACAATAAATAAGGTGATGGTGCCTGACGTAGTCTTTGAAGTCACACGTGCTCACAGTCAGCTAACATATCTAGTTTAGAGTCAGTCACATTGTAAAGTGCTTCACATGTTGTGTGTAGGAACCAATGAGAACATTCTTAAAATGATATATATCTTCCTTTTTATCACTGATTGTGTTCATTTGTTTTTGTGCAGCCCAGGAGTTTGAAGGAGCAGCCAAACCTCAAGGTAAGACTCTTTCACTTCCCTTTTTGACCTTGTTTAGTTCACTGGTAAATAAGCTTTTAATTAACAGCAACAAATAGTCAAATCAAATTCAAACACCTCTCTCTGCAGGCCACAGTAGAGAAGTTTGGATATGTATGAATGTGTAAGCTTATTAAATATAGTGCCCATATTTTTGGCACCCCAACTAAGGATTGATTGGAAAGAATGCTGTGGTGAAACTGATGAGCAATAGGAATTTTACCTTTTGTCAAATGTCTTTACTTACTTTACTTTACTTTAAATACATTTTCTCTCCCATTAAAATGTCATTTTAATGTGGTTTTTGAGGCTGTTAAACATGCTATAAAAGCATGATCAAAAGTAAAGAAACAAAAGTAGACACAATAATGAAGTATTCATCACTGTCTGCCTGCAGCTCGTTTTAGCTTCTGTCCAGATGGCTGGTTCAGCTATGGTCCTCGCTGCTTCAAGTTCATCAATAGTCCCAGGTCCTGGTTCTCTGCTGAGGTACTGTCATTGAGCTCAACTATACATTTACACCTGAACAATGAGATGTTCCATGGTTTTTGAATTAGCTGAGCAAATTTTTAGAAACACCCTTTCATGGAAATCATAGAAATGGCGGTCTCTGCTTCACCTGAACTAAAGCTTTGGTGATTGTATATATTTGTAGGACAGTCAGTCTCCCACATGACTCACAGAGCTTTAAGTTCACACTGCAGCTTAATGATACATCTCTTTATGTTCATCTATCCAATAGGAGTACTGCAATAGTCTGGGTGGCAATCTGGCCTCAGTTACCAACCTCAGAGAGTACAGCTTCCTCCAACAGATGACACAGACAGCGGGTCAGACTACTGCTTGGCTGGGAGGTTTCAGACTGCAGGTAGAGTTTTAGAAAAAAAAGAAACACCACCTCAGTCAGTCCAGATCAAACTTTGGTCCTGGTCGGAAGTGGGTCTAGACTTACACAGAATGGATATGAGAATAAATGAAGAGACTAAGTCAACACTCCCTCACACATATGTTCTTTGCATCTCAGAACCAGTGGCTTTGGATTGACCGTGAGGGTTTCTATTACACCAACTGGTACAGCCCGTCCTCTTCCAGCACACACCCTTGCCTCTTCCTACGATCCACCTGTGAGTAATATCAGCATCTGAAAATGTTATATTATTTTCTTTTCTTACATAGAGCATTGCCTGTAGAGTTAACCTTGATATGTCAGTTCAGATCAAATTTGATACATGGCTTCTTTCAAGCTATGAGACTGACACACCCTGTGTTTAAATGTATGCCATTTTGTTAAATCTGATATACAGTGTGTCAGTAAAGTGTATTATTGTCCCAAACACATAAGGGTTTGTTTACTGGGAATAACGGTGCAGAATTTGTCAGTCTGCTGCAGAGAATGCCAAACTGCTGGGGCACAAGGTAACTGCAGGTGGGGTGTTAATCTAGGTGAAATATTTCAACTTGGATGAAATGAATATATTTTTAAATAAGAATCAATAGGTGCTGACCTCTATTTAAATGCTGTTAATTGCTGATAAAAACCACTGCCTTGATTAATTTAGTGTTAATTTTGATTTGTCTCTTTCTAATTCCAGATGGTTGGGGTAACACTCTGTGTACTTCCAGTTATTCTTTCATCTGCTCTAAGAATCCATTTGGTTGTTAACATTTATGCTAAACATCTGAGGCCTGTGGGTGGACCACATTGTATTTTTGTTCTGTTTAAAAGCATAAACTCTGTTGTATGTGTTAATGAATGGGAGATTTTTCTTTAATTTCTAAAAATGTATTCTTCAAAGACTTAAATAATGAAGTGCTAGTAAATTTTAAACTTTGTTGGTCAGTGTAACAATTTCTTTTCTATAATAAAGACAATGTGTAATTTCCTTTCTTGTACCTCTTGTAAGTCTCCTTAAAATTCTTTCAAACCCAAATAACAATAAACAATACCAATACCAGAAATTAAAGGGGCAGTAAAGCCACACATCCCAAAATTAGATTTATGTGATTTGCCTCTGGTCTGTAATGCTCCTTATGAATCTAGGTTGTTTTGTGTGAGAGATTTGGTTAAATTAATAGATGAACACATGCATGCAAGCGCAGAAACACCATCAGGGATGTTCACTGATAACAGGAAAGAGGATCTGGGTTGAAATACCCAGGCAGGCAGGAACTGTTTAGGAGGTTTATTTAAAGTCTAAAATACAGAGGAAACACAAATGAGCATGAACCAGAGCAGAAATCCAGAACAACAGCTAGGCAGCATGACATTGGTGTGCATAAAGGACAATCAGATTATAAGATGGTAATTCATTTCAGTTTTCAAGTTTATTTACTTTGTGCAAAATCACATTAACAAAAACAAAATGAAACCTTTGGAGTGGTCTAGTCAAAGTCCTGACCTGAATTCGTTTAAGGTATGAACTTATGAAAGCGATTCATGCTCAAAAACCCCCCAAAGACACGTGGGCCAAAATTACTCCAAATGTTTTTCCAATGTGATATCTGTCCTATCAGCATTTTGATTACAGCACATTTTTTGGCCTGTGAAAATTGAATCATTGCGTAATAAATAATTGTTAAAAAAAACCAAACAAATAACAACAACAAAAAAGGAAACAAACCCCCCAAAAAACAGAAATGTGCAGTCACTCTAAGAACATCTTTTAGCACCCCTACTAGGTCAAGAATTGTTTATGGTAAAATGGTAAATGGCCTGCATTTATATAGCGCTTTTCTAGTCCCTAAGGACCCCAAAGCGCTTTACACTACATTCAGTCATTCACCCATTCACACACACATTCACACACTGGCGATAGCAAGCTACATTGTAGCCACAGCTGCCCTGGGGCGCACTGACAGAGGCGAGGCTGCCGGACACTGGCGCCACCGTCATAATCCTGGGTCTCTGACCCAGTTTTTTTGAGTTCTGTAAAATTTATGGTTGTTTGAGTATTGTATTTTCCATGAACTTTTGAGTTTTCATCATAGGCTATATTTAGGTCCTTGAATTTTCTGTTTATTTTATCTCCCCTGTGTTCCTTAATGTGTTCCTTAAAGTTTTTCTAGTAGAGATCACAGTCAGACACTAGTAGGGGTGAGGTACCATGCAAAGCAATCCCAACTCTCTAGTACCACAGGCCCTTTGCCCCTCAATCCAGTCAGAATAGCCTGATATGACAGTCTCACACATTAGAACTTTCCACTCTTGGAATGTTGGGTTTGTGGGCAATGTCTCAGTATAATTCTGGCTGCAGAGACAAACCTGACTGTGCACCATTTTTGCAGTGGTGGAATTACTGTTTTATCTCGTAGAAGACCTAAACATAGGGACAGTGGCTTAGTCTTACTCATTTCTCTTGGAGCTTTATATTCTATGCCAAAATAGCTTAACATTGGCACATTCCAATATGAAATGTGTTACACCCCTCAAAACAGGGAGAAAAGAATCACGAGAGTGATTATGACTTGCGTCTCTCATGCAGTCGTTTATTGCAGTGAGGAGAACGCGCGAAAGCCCCCTAGTGGAGAATAGAGACACTACTAATCAATCCCAAAAAAGGCTTACTAGCCGATCAGAGATGTATAGATTGTAGTTCTCTTAAGTAACATGAAAGCCATTAATATAACATGAAAAATAATAAACTCTTAACCATTTTCTTACCATATTTACATTATTTTCGTCCTTATATCAACTGATATGAATTAGTATTAACTGAACAGTTTTATATGCAGTAGTCCTTCAACCTGTCACAAATACAGAAAGGTGGCAGTTTCCTTTTCACATTTACAACAGACATTTTTATTAATAAATCCTGTTCTAAAAAGCCTGCATGATGTCCATGATGTTATGTCTAACATGTCTGTTACTTTTACCATTATCAGCCAAGATATATTCCCAGGTATCTATTTCACAATTCTATTTCTCTCTACTAGATAATTCTTAGATTGTCACATGTGCTGGTGGTCATGTGAATTGAGTTACTGTGGAATAGTAATGCCTTGTGATTAGATGGGGTTGGGTTAACTACTGAATTATCTGCTTTGTTTGGCTGACAATTTTCTATGCAATGTCTAATCTGCAAATTGTTACGGGTTCAAAAATTGGGGATGGAGACAAGAGGAAAAACCACAATAACAACACTGGTCCTGCCGGGTTGAGTCAAACAATGATTTTAATGATCACGCGCGTGGGAGATGGACACCGTACGCAGACAGCCTCAGATCTCAAAATGGTGGAGCATTGATCAAACTCTTATAACCTCTAGTGGCCCCCACCTTATCACAAAAGCCTAAACATTCACCTTCTTTCTCTCACACGGCGCCTAAGCTACGACCTTGGCTCCCTGTTTATCTGCTCCTGCTGAGATGGGGCAGAAAACTCCAGTATGTTCTGTTCTCTTCTAATCAGACAAATAAGGCGATGACTTTCTGCAAACAGTATTTCTTACAACTCAGCAGTATAATGCATCATAAAACAATATCATTCATTCACAATAAATCAGCAGTCTAATGTAATGCAAATCAGTTTAACAAATGCAATAGCTATCACCTTCTTCTAATTCAGGAGAATAATGCAAACTAAAACTACATAATAATTCACAATCTTTAATTAGGGGTCTAACATGGCATAAAATAATATTATAATCCCACAAAATACTTCCAGAAGTCACCCCTATCTCATAGGTTGTACTCTTGAACTAACTCAACAAAAGATTTAAGAATACCATCTTTACAGAAGTCACTAATTGTATGAATTCCATTACCAAGAGTTCTTTTTCAAAATAATATTTGTTTCTCTATTTTTAATTCTGGGCTATACCAAAGTGACCCATATTGCTGTTTGTAATCGGAGAGTTTGTACATTTTGTAGCCTTTGCCCAAACCTCCTGAGAGTGTTCAGTAATTGTATCTCTTTACCACTGGATTGTTGTGATGACATCTGTATAGGGTGAAAGGATGTGACAAGAATCTTTTCTATGGTGGCCCACTTTAGGCTTCCTCCCTGCCCAGAGAAATTCTTTAATGAGATTGTGGTATTGTTTTAGTATACAATCAGGTATGCTGTGTAATGGATACATAGTTAATCTTTAGGGATATCATTATTTTTTTTAAGATTTACTTTGTCACGGATCAGATTTTACTTCCCTCGCTTCCCTATGTTAGTCTTAGTTTTTTTCAGCAGTGGATCAAAGATCAATAAGGGCATTTTGTTTAGGTCTGGGCTCAACTTGATACACAGGTAAAATTTTGAAATATTTCAAAAATGAAGCCATAGTCTATTTCTGACTGATTAGTAGACAGGTTGATTATAAAGGGTTGTAGTCCAATGTGAAGATATTCAAAGTGTGATGTTACACAAATGAATTACAGTTATTTGGATAACCAGTGGTGGTCCTAGCCTGTTTGGCGCCCTGGGCGAACACTCCCTCTGGTGCACACACAGACACACACATAAAACATATTAAGGATTGTACATTAACATAAAGCTAAAACTGTTGTCGGAACCATACTGAATTTCACCAGAGAAACACACACACATATGAAGAGAGAGAGAGAGTATGCATTGTATGCAAACGTCTACAAAACAGCTATCAAAATACGTCATACAATGAGAACAGGAGAAATCAACAATTGACAATGACTAATTAATAGTGTTGGTCAAGTTACTTGAAAAAAGTAATCAGTAGCTAATTACTGATTACTTCCCCCAAAAAGTGATCCCGTTACTTTACTGATTACTTATTTTCAAAAGTAATTAATTACTTATTAGTTACTTTTTAAAAACACGATTTACAACCTGAATAGGTGATAAAGCGATAGATCTTTCAGCCCAATTCTACTTTTTCTGCATAATCCATCATACAAAATGTAATCAAATGGAAAAGTATCTTTTTAAAACTTGTTTTATTAGTTTTAATCTTTTAACTTTATGCATCAAGCAAAAATGTATGCAACATTCTCTGACTGGAAGAAATTTGTTTAATATTTAAACCTATTTTCTGCACATTCCAGCTCATAATATATATATATATATATATATATATATATATATATAGAGAGAGAGAGAGAGAGAGAGAGAGAGAGAGAGAGAGAGTCTTGTAATCGGAAGGTTGCCGGTTCGAGCCCCGGCTCGGACAGTCTCGGTCGTTGTGTCCTTGGGCAAGACACTTCACCTACCGCCTACTGGTGATGGCCAGAGGGGCCGATGGTGCGATATGGCAGCCTCGCCTCTGTCAGTCTGCCCCAGAGCAGCTGTGGCTACAACTGTAGCTACCTCCACCAGTGTGTGAATGTGAGAGTGAATGAATAGTGCTATATAAATGCAATCCATTATTATTATTATTTAGATCTCTGTCCAGAAGAGTGCAGTCTTGGGAACAGCTAAGATACTGCACAGGACCCTCAAGCTCCCGAGCCTCTCGTAGAGGACCCGAGCTTGGAGGACTGACCATCCGCAGGGGCGAGCGGTCCTAGGTATGTAATACCTGGCAGGTAATGTCCCAGGTATTTAAGCCCTAGTGGGAGTTGTCCCTTAAGAGGGTTGCTGACCCACTGTTGATTATGTGCCTTATCACAAGGTGTGAAAAAAGGAGTAGTTCATTTTCGATAGAAGTTTGGGGTTAAACCATTGTGAAACCTTGCCTCACCCTATCATATGATCCATTGAGATCATTTGACACAAAATGTGAGTGGGGGTTTTGGGACCTGGGAAGGATGTCAAAACTGCATTGAAGGTGGCAGAAAGCTGTTGTCACAGCCTCTGTTTGAGGATGGTCGTTCAGAGCGTAAGGGACAACCCCCGCTAGGATTTCAATCCCTGGGACTCTCCACCATTTGGTTTTAGAACT